GATAAAAATTCAGAAACCTGCAAAAAAAAATGCAAGTTACTTCACTATAATTATTTTGACGAGAGCCTGATTCCAACCATATATTCTCTCATATCCCTCTGCTAGAAAAAAAATGGTCGTAATAGGTAAATTTCATACACATACTTTTCCAAGCAGGATTTCATCGTACATGTTATATTAGGTTTAAAATAGACTATCTTTGAAGAACATTTGTTCAAAGACATACTTTGACACATTAACACCGGTTGAGTTGAGGAATCAAATACCATATTATATAATATGTGAGGCATGCTGAAAAAATGAGTTACTTCTTGCAATCCACAAATGGAGATATTGGGTTAATAATAATCGACACTTGGGTTACATTTGTAAATTTTCTATTGATACCATAATCTTTAAGAATATCATGTTTTTATTATTTCATACTAATAAATTGTAAAAACTTCACCTATAAGCGTGATGTAGCGATTTCCATTGGGCTCGAATGTGAGAAGTAACTCATTTTGTCAGCACCCTTCACATATCTATTATTACAGAGGGTAAAACCACGAAACAGTGTTAAAAACTGGATTTTCTCCCATGAAATAACAGCAGAAATATTATAGGAAGACTGCAAGGGGAAAACGATGGTAGTGACAAACTGAAAATCGTGAGGTCACGAGAATCAACCTTTTTCGGGATACCCCCTTGTGCTTAAAAGTGACCATTTAATTTTATTATAATCTTGTTAGAAAATCCAGAAACCTAAAAAGAAAAAGAAACGTGGGGAAAGGTTGTTGGTACAAGTGATTGGCTTGGACAAGTGGCTGTTAGAGCAGGTTCCAATGCATTAGTCTCAGTGGACACAGTGAGCTGCTTACATAATATTCTGATTTCTCAAAATAGTAACAGTCAGCGGAAAGAAAATCTCTGGCAGACGACGGAAAAACGCACTTTGGATCAATGCAGTTTGATTGAATACCAGCTTTCGTCTGACTGGACAAAAAAAATCAAATTTTTCACCGGCGAATTCTTCGGAAAAGGTAGACTTTTGTACGGTCAAAACCTGACAATGACCCTGTAGCTTTTACTCAAGTGAATAAAAACATGAGCGAATTTTGTAGTACGTAGTGTGTATTTTCTTTAAATGTTTGAATCAGCCTTTATTTTTCGGGCACATATCTGGACATCTTGTTGCGCAATCGGTAAAACGACAGCCGAATGCGCATGTCCGACAGAAGTAGACATCTTGATCCACCTGGTTGTCGTAATCTGGAAATTTAAGCCGCGGGGAATCGTCGTTGTTGTTGTTATTATTGTTGTTGTCATCCTTATTGTTTTTGTACTTATTCTTTTCGTTGTTGTAATACTGCAATATATTGTCAATGTCGTATTTTCCGTTATCGTTGTTATTATTGTTGTTGTTATTGTTGTTGTTGTTGTTATATGTGATCTGGGAAGACGGCCTTTTGGTTGGCACTATGGGTATTGTTCCTCTAGTGGTTATTCTCGTGGTGGGTCGGGGCGTGGTTCTTCGCGTGGTGGGTCGGGGCGTGGTTCTTCGCGTGGTGGGTCGGGGCGTGGTTCTTCGCGTGGTGGGTC